GGGGTGCCCTGCCCTCTGTCCCAGGGGGAAGACGAGGGAGGTGGCATTTCCCGAGCCCAGGCCCCCAGCAGCTATAGCAGGTGCCCCAATTTGGCAGCACAGACAGGCCAACCTGGCACCAGCCTGCTAATGCTGCTGGGAGAGGCCTCGAGGGGGCTGAAGCTGGTTCAATGGGCAGCTCTTTGGAGATGCAGTGGCTTGAGGTGATTCACTGTGACAGGCTGTTGACAGCGCAGCTCCCAGGGTTGCTTGTGGTCACATGCGGAGCTGCCCCAGCCGCCTGCCTCTGAGGGAACAAAAGAGGGGCAGCAGATGGCAGCCGTCCACGTGGAGATCCTGTGCTGCCTCTACCCTTATGGCCTCGGAGCTCTTTTCTGGAGGGCAATGGGTCCTAGCCACAGTGCCCATTGCTTACAACCCCAAAAGTCATGTGGGCTAAGATCCTGCTACGAGCCCTCGATCTAACTGGAAAGAGGAGCACAAGGACCTCCCTTCATCCTTCCCTCTCTCCTTGTCTCACTTCCTCCCTTCATCCAGTTTTGTCGAGTGCCTACCATTGTGCCAAGTACTGTGCTTGGTACTGGAACATGGGGTTGTTTGGAACAAAACAGTCATGGTCCTCTCCTCATGGAGTTTATAGTCTAGTGAAGGAGACACACGTTAAACAGGTAATTGCATAGATAATAATTTGATTACACTTGTACTAATTGTTGGAAGGAAAACAACAGGGTGCTATTACAGGACCCTGAGCCAGCCCGGGAGGTTCAGGCAAGGCCCCCCCTAAGGAAGCCACATTGACCTGGAGGATGAGTCTTAGGTTGGGTGCCCTAGAAGCAGAACCTTTTAGATTGATGGGAATCTGTTCCACTTATTCATTATTAGTATATAGGAAAATGATTGGCTTTTGTATAGTAACCTTGTATCCTGCAACCTTGCTATAATCATTTATTAGTTCCATTTCTTTTTTGTCAATTCATTCAGATTTTCTACATAGTTTATCATGCAATCTGTGAACAGTTTTGTTTCTTCCTTCCTTTTCTTTTCTTATTGCATTGTCTAGAACTTCAAGTATGGTGTTGAAAAGCAATAGTGAGAAGAGACAGCCTTACTTTGTGCTTGCTCTTCAAAGAAAAGCTTCGCATTTCTCACCATTAAGAGTGATGTTAGCTGTAGGTTTTTTATAGATATTCTTTATCAAGGTGAGGAAGTTCCTCTCTATTCCTAGTTTATTGAAAGATTTTTTTATCATAAATGGGTGTTGACTTTTGTCAAATGCTTTTTCTGCATCTATTGATGTGATCATGTGATTTTTCTTCTTTAGCCTGTTGATGTGATGGATTATATTAATTGATTTTAAATTTTGAACCAGCTTTGCATGCTTGGTAAATTCCACTTGCTTATGGTGTATNCTCCCTCCCTCCTCAGCCTCTGCCTCTGTCTTGTCTCTTTTCCTCTCTTGATGTCTTTCTTCCTGTCTCCTTACCCTCTTTATCTTTCCTCCCTTCCTTCCCCCTTTCTCTCTCCTTTCCTCCTCTCCCTTCTTTCCTCCCCTCTTTCTTCCCTTCCTCCTCCTCTTAGCCCCCTCCTCCTTTCTTCCTTTTTCTTTTTATCACCCTTCCTCTTGCCCGACTCCTCCCTTCTATCCCACTTTCCGTTGCTTCTGTCCTCCCTTTAACAATATCGATTGAGCCCTGTACTAGACGCCAGATCCAGCAAACCCAGCATATTGGTACGTGAGGTATTCTAATCTTAAGAAAAAACAACAAAAAACAACAAACAAACCCATCTTATGTGCTGATACGTAAAGGCCTCCAGGAATAGGGCAAAGCTGGGCTTCAGCTTTTCAGCTGTTGGCTATAAGAACTCTATGTTTTAAGGGGAACTGCCACGCCAACTGCCTCGGGGGTCTGGCCTCCACTGTGGCATGCCTCACTCCAGGCTGAACCTCTGAGGTTACCTGTCTGCTCCCCGTTGTCCAGTGTCCTCCCCCAGGGCAGGCTCTGGTCTCGTTCCCACGGTATCCACAGCACCCAGCGGAGTGACCACTACTGTGCAAATGCTGCTCAGAGCTACCTCACTCTCTTCCCTCTGACCGTCCTGGGGTGGAGGAAAAGAGTTTGGTTAACATCCACACTATGGAGGGAGTTCTTTCCCTCCTCTCCTCAACAGAGGTCCTACATAGGTCCCAAAGTGTTCACAGCAGTGAAAACTGAGTCAGAGCACTAAGTAGAAATCCCCTCAGAAAAAGTTCCTGGGAGACAGAAACTCTAACTCATCTAATTTTCTATTCCCAGCTCCAAGACAGTGCCTGGCACATACAAGGCACCAGGAAATGCTAGTTGAACTGAACTGTGCTGTGCCAGACAGACTCTAAAATGACCCTCTAAAGGTTCTTGCCTCCTGGCTTTCGTGTCCTCCCAACTGAGTGTGGACCGGCCTAGAGACTTGCTTCTAACCAACAGAATATGGCAAAGCTGAGGAGATGTCACTTCTGTGATCCGGTTACATAAGACTGTGACTTTTGTCTTGCTAGCCAACTCTGTTGCCTTCTTCACTTGCATGCTGTGATGATGCAAGCTGCCATGTTAGAGAGGCCTGCATGCAGGAAACAGGGCAATCTTCAGCCAAGGCACAGAGCTGGGCTCAGCG